GCCAGGAGCCTCTTCCTGGTCTTTCATACATATTGCCTAGGGCTAACCCTTGGATCTTCCTACCATACATAATAACATATTGTGTGCAAGGAGTCGTCTCCTGGTCTTTCATGCATAATGCCTAGGGCTAACCCCCGGGTCTTCCTTTTATACATAAACAAAATGGGCCGACATTGTGGCCGTAGACCCATAGGAGACTCACCTCACACTGCTGAAGACTCATTGAACACTTCTGACTACTAACTGGCACCTCTGAACTACTGATCCTTCGGCTTCCCGAACTATCAATACCCAAAACAATATTTAGACCATAATAATCCAAAAGTCAACCCTGGTCAAACTTGGTCAAAGTCAAGATCCAGTTGACCTGACTCGCCGAGTTGGTCTACCAACTCGTCGAGTCCATACTCCTCCAACCCCATACGACCCCGAATCCACTCATCGAGTCTAGTATTAACTCAACGGGTTCTCCTTTAACCACATAATTGGGACCAACTTCATCCGACTCGCCGAGTTCATCCTTGAACTCGTCGACTTCATCATCCACATATGAATGTGTCTAGTCTGTGACTCACCGAGTTGTATGAACAACTCGTCGATTCCATCTTCATAGCTAAGGAGATTGCCTTAGACTCGCCGAGTTCTTCCTTGAACTCGTCGAGTACGATGAACTTCATGACCATTATGGACTCGGGCCAACTGAGTCCCTTTCCAAGCTCATTCATACCCTTAACAGAAGGGTTTTGGGGTAAGAACTGGCCCGACTCGCCGAGTCTCTCTATGTCCAACATTATTCAAACGATTTCCAACTAGCTTAACGCATCCAAGACACAGATCTGGCCTCTTAGGTTCGTGATATCACACAAAGCCACTACATTTGCACCCATGCATGGCCCTTTTTGCTCAAAAGGCCAAAACAACTCCTTAAACATTGCATGGAGAGGTATAATAGCATAAAGCTTCCACCTTTATGCCTCTAACACTCTGAACACCTCTAAATTTGGAAGGATCTAGCTTTGAGGGCGTCCAAATCCCACAAGACATCCTTCTTGGACCATAAACTCCATAAAAGGGACATAAAGAGATCTATCAAACTAGAAGTCAAGGTGAGAACTTGATTACCAGAAAATGAAGATGATGAAGCAAACTTCCTGGATCTACAACCTTTTCCTTGGACCTTCAACCTCCTTCTTCTTCTTCTAGACTTCAAGAAAACTCTAAATCCTTCAATAAGGCTCACACACTCAATGATAACACTAGGGTTTCGTGGGACAGGTTCTGGACAATGGAGGCTACAAATGAGGCCGATATAATGAGAATAAGATGCTTAAATAGGGCACCAAATCCTAATTTAGGGTTTTCCCAAAACCTGGCCAACTCACTGAGTCAGTCCTCTGACTCGTCGAGGAGGTCACTTAACCCGCAACCAAAATCGCGCTCCTACTCGTTGAATCACCCATCTACTCGATGAGTCACTCCCTTATCTTAAGGTTTTCTTTCCTTTCCAGGTCTTCTAAATTCAGGGTGTTACAAACCGGATTTGACTAAAATAATTAAACAACTGTCATGGACAATCTAAGGTTCGCCAAGGATTAGTCGCTTGTGATCAGTTGGAAGTATAGCAGTGGATGGACCATATTGACGTTATTATGAATAAATAAGATTCCATTTATAATGAGTTGTCGTATGGTAAATATGAAAATGTTTCCTTATTGGGAGTTAGACGTTAAGAATTTATGTATAGATTAGAAAATTTTAGGCAAGAAGGATGTTCAAAGGATTGTACCTTGAATGTAAGATTTCACATCTATGGGATTATCTTGTAACAATCTCCAATAGAGTACTTTGTAATTTCATTAGGAAATTCTTGGTGACTTTGGTGCTGTGACATTACGAAAGGACCGTTGCATAAAATGTTAGAATCCAACATATTCTAGTAGTGGCGAGAATTTTGTATTCTCACACTAATGATTAGTATTAGGAATTGTGAAATTAGAATCATTGGAAATATTTTCATTTGATCTATTTTAAAAAGTAAGGGTCGTAGGTAAACATAATGTGTGTGCTTGGAGCATAGGACAACTGTTGTTGTAATTCAAGTAAGAAGTTGATTACCCGAAACAACAAATAATGAGTAATCAATATGGTGATTAAATAAAATTGTTTTATTTATACTCAAAAGTTTGGGGCCATATAGTATTAGTATTATTCTTGTGTTTCATTTTGCATGTTTTGACTTCCCGAATAATAAGATTATTCAAACCCTCCATAGTCGCTCATACTTTGGAAGTAGATATGAAAGAAGACTGTCATGAATCCGTCTGTAGATTGTCTAAAGTGTTTCGACATAGCACAGGTTTACTGTAGAGTTCATGAGTGTTGCTATAAGATTAGAGTATTGGATTAAACCCACGCTCACTTGGATCGCTTCATGGATTTTATCACGAGTGATTGGTGAGACGATAATATCTTATAATCTTGAAACCAAGACGTGTGAGTTGTATTCTGCAAGTCGGTTGTGCATTGACAATATGTAATCGCACCAGTAACATGGTGTTATAAAACATATTGTTGTGTGTGATTCGGTAAGTAAGTACAAGTGAGCATTCGAGTCGAAGTTTATCCGTTCCTTTTACCCAAAGTGGGATAAAAGCGATATCTGTGGGCCCCTCGATGATTTAGTGATGACACCCTAAGCACTTGGCCAAGCCAGGACTAAGTTGATGTGTTCAATTGTAGTCTGTTGTCAGTCGTCATAAATCGGAAATTAGGAAACAACACAAGAGCAGAGAGTATGATTAAAATCCATGTCTCAGTTCATACGATATCTAGAATGGAGGAATATATGATCCCTTATCTGAAGGACAGGTTGTTGATAAGATCAAAGTTCGACAGCGTCTTTGAGAGCTATGGTTGCTAATCAGATTGTACTTGCATTTATAGTCACTAGACTTATCCAAGTGGGAGACTGTTGGATTAGTGTCTAAGCCCGTAACTATATTTGGTAAGTATTTGACCCGGTTGTGCATGGTTCTTTTGGGTTGCTTTCACCAAAGCAACTTGATAGGATGATTTATGAGGATAAAGGATTAATTATGATTTATTAATATATTATATCAATAACATATTAAAGGAGAAATCATATTATTTAATTAATATTAGTCAAGAATTAATTAAGAATTAGTTTTGTGGTTAAAAGAGATTAATTAAACTTATGGGACTAGAATTGTAATTATAAGATAATTGCAATTGGGCTATGGATCACTTTGGAACATAGGTTGGACGAATTCTATGGGAAGCCTATAAGGAATTCATCCAAGGGTGCTCTAAAGGGAGTCCATGGGCTGCTTGGAGCCCAATCAGTCAAATTAGGGTTTCCTTGTTTGATAACCCTAATAGCCTCACTATATAAAGACCCCTATGGCCCCAAAAACATGGCTAACTCTTTTAGAAGAACCCTAGAACGTTTTTTGGTGCCTCCTCCCTTTCTCTTTGTTCATCCTCTTGCTTGTGGTGTTTGTAAGCCATTAGAGGAGTGACACTTGTGACTTTAAGCTCCAAGACATGAAGATTCAAGCCATTCTTGAAGAGGTAATCATCTAGATCTATTCTTATATGTTAATTTCGAAATTCATATGCTAGATTAGGGGTATTTAGTCTTGGATGAATTGCATGTACAACAGAGAAACCTAGATCCAAGAATTAGGGTTTGTATGAGCACATAGGATGTTCTTTTGTATAAAACCCATCAGTTTTGACCAGAGATAATAGAGACAAAGACGGAAATGAGTTATAGATGAGAAGGAGGCGACACATAACATATCTGGTATAAATCCGACAAACATTTCGCCGATGATGGAACATATCAGAGAAAAAAAATAAGTTCAAGAGTTCTAGAACAAAACGAAATCAAGATTAGGTTGAGATGATGACTGCGATTTGTGATTTTTGATGCTCCGACAACGACACCAACGGTGGGGGAACATATTTAATGTAGATCCAACAAAATTCCGATAGGTCATAACTTGTTCATTATAAATCGGATTTCAGCGTTCCTTATATCCTCGAAATCCTTGTTGCGACCACTCCAACTTTCTTCATAGATATTTGGTCGATCTATTATTTTATTTTTGACGAATATTTTTATTATTATTTTATTACATCGTTACAAGCACGTATATTGCACATAAATCACATAATACTCAAATAAATATTATTCATTACTTCAAAATATGTTATAATTGTTGATCCTAACTATTATATCATTATAATAATACTTAGCCTAGAAACACATGCGTTACAGTACTGGTAGATCAAGGCTTCTCCAGTGCACCCCTATTCGCGGATATGGTGACAGAAATGAAGGAAATGGAGGGTTGTCTGCTTGCAACGTTTTTCGTCAACAGATGTGTAGAAGAGATGCGACTACTTGTGTTCTTTGATTCATGGATGAAGAAGTTGGGAAGATGAAAAGATAAAAGGGCTAAGCACTTTAGTTTTGGGTGGTGAGACCCACCTATTTATTAAATATATTTATTTAATAAATAAATAATAAAAAATAAATAAATTATTAAAAAAGAAATAGTCTTTTTAAGTCGGTAAATAAAAGTTAAATGTTACATATTCACTATTTAATTAGTTAGGAGAATTTCTAGAAAAAAAAAAATTAATTTTCAAAAATTAATAATAGGGGTAAAATGTACAACAAAAATGGAAAACCAAACTTAAAACTAAACCAGCAAATAACATAATAGTAGGACGATTAGCGTAATTTACTCCTTATTCTATACATACAGTGTAATTTCAGACGAGTTCAACACGTGTTGAAACCGGAATAGCATCGACTCGTTTGCCGCCTTGCTGTGACGAATTTGGAATTACGGATGTGAGAGCTTATCCTGTTCGTCTCGATTTTCCAACAACATCTTCTACTCAATCTTATCCTCCATCATAATTTCTTTCACCGTGTTCTTTCAAACTCTGGTGATCAACACCAAAAGATGAGAGACCAAGATGATCGAACTCGGGTTTTGTACCAGCTCTGTTCAATGATCATCAACATCCTCGGTTCACCTCCTCTTCCTATCCCATTCCCATTCCCCACCTCCTTCGTCGGCGCCACCGTAGCTTCCTCTTCGTCGTCATCATCGGCCCCTTCGCCACAGCGACCACATGTATCTCCTACTGGATTTGCTGCACTATTTATCTCGATTTCCTTCGCGTTGATGCTGTTTGGATCCGCGATTTTCGTTATCGGGGTCATGTTGATGCCTTTGGTGATTGCTTTGGTAATGCTGTTCTACTTGGCCGGAATCGTTTCCAATTTGACTTACTTGGTCGCCGCCGTTCTCCGTCCATCTACGAGGATTGTTTCAGGTTTAGTTCGTTATTGAGACATTTTATGGTTCCTTATGCGGCATGAAGATTATCATGAAGCTGAGAACGTTAAGTAACTAGTCTGGATCCAGCACATTAGTTAAGTTACTAGTAATTACTAGTTACAATTGTGTTAATTAATACAAGTATGAAATGCGCAGCCATGGAGATTTTTAATGATCGAATAACATCTTCCTTTTCCCATCGAAGTATGAGATAACATGTGTAATCTATTGTGCTTAATTTCTTCCAAACCGCATTACTTATCATAACAAATTAACACACCACTGTTTCATAATTCATACACACATGATTAATTATATGTATATTCCAAATAACTAGGATAACTGGAAAAAGAGAGAATTAATACTTTGAAAAGACCAAAAGGTCAAATAAGATAAGTAAGAACTACATTATATATCTGCTAGCCTATGTTGATGCTGATACCAACTGCAATGAGTAAGATAGTGATCATTCCAAAGAAGATAATTGTGTGGACACAAATGGAAACCCCACTCGTCTGGAAGTTATTAAACTCAACTGCACGCCCTTTACCCGGAAGCTGAAACAACAAACCGGGCGACAACAGCACAAACAGCAACACCCCTATTAGAACAGGTGCCCAATCTGCCATTTAATTTTCTTTTTGTATAGATTTAAGCCAAACCATGTACACGGTATACATGATATATAAATGGAAACCTTAGCCATATGGCATATGACAAAAAAACTAGGTGACAAAGGACACATACAAATTTCGCCTGTGAAGCATCGTATACGTCGTTCTTCATATTAACATTTGTCTGACTTTGAATATTTAAGCCGGCAGATGGCATAGAATATGTAGATAGTAGACTATATAAACTTAATTGATTTTTCTATTTAGTGCAATTTGTCAGCTTTCCGATATATAAATTATATATTGTACGTTTTCCTGTTCAACTATATATTTAACATATCATGTGCTCATCGGACATGACATAAAATAATTAGAATGTATCGTGCCTATATAGTGATCTCTTTATTTCAAGATATATCCACGAGTAAAGCAAGAAGGATATATATATATATATATATATATATATATATATATATATATATATATATATATATATATATATATATATATATATATATATATATATATATATATATATATATACATACCAATATGGCGCTTCGTAAGCCATCTAGCTTTACACCTACATCAAGTGCTTCCTTTTTTCGTAATCTTTTCTTTGCACAAATGACAACGATTAATCTCTAAACCACAATAAAAAAGCAGATGAAAAGAAACACTCTTGGGATCAATAATTGTAAAAAGAACAAAAAAGAAGGTTGTAAGATAAAGCAAAAGCCCATAGCCTCCACTAGAGAAAGAAAATAAAAAACATACCTTCCCTCCAATCCTTCATTTCCACTATTTTTTGTTTTCCTTTTGAAGTTTAGCATCCCCTCCCTGCCTTCATCACCAAGTAAGTTAGTTAATTCCCTCTACTTATAATTTGCAACTCCTGCATTCTCTCACTTAACCTGAAAGGAGGCTCACTCACTCACTCACTCGTTAAACTCAGTGCCATATTTTTTTGATATCAAATTAAGATGCATACAGATTGGGGTCCAGCTGCTGTTGCAGTGGTGATGTTTGTATTATTGTCCCCAGGGTTGCTATTTCAATTGCCAGCGAGGACAAGAGTGATAGAATTTGGTAATATGTACACCAGTGGCATATCGATTCTAGTTCATGCGATTTTGTACTTTTGTATTTACACCATCTTGGTTGTAGCTATTGGTATTCACATTCGTACTTGATTGATGATTCTCGATCCTTTTTATATACTCTAAGGCTTCTTTCCCTTTGTTTTATACATTTTGTTCTTGTTGGATATGGCCTATGGGATTTACCTAAATTTTTGGTATCTCATATGTTGTGCACTTATGAGATGTTTGTAGGCATGTAATAACCAATTTCAATGTTTTTTTTACCATGTTGATGTTTAGAAAATGCATTTTGTTGATCCTATCGATTAGTTTGAGATGTTTTCAACTGTGGATATATGTTTGTTTATATCCCATGCATCGTGAATTTATTTGTTGGCAGTTTGTTGACGGGTATTTATCGTTTAGCTGAACCAAGAGATCCATGATCATTTGTTTTAAATTTTCTTTTAAATGTGTCGAGTATTTTGCACCTTAAAAAGTCTATATTACAAGGAACGGTGCACAAACCGATTGGGCTCGATCTCCAGGCTTTTCAGACTTGTCTGGACTATTGGGCTCTTCAATGTTTTGGGCAAGGCCAACACAATTTTAGTATTTACCCAAAAACAGAGGTCTGGTGAATAAAACCGGAGTAATTGAAAGTCTTGAAAGTTTTAAATTACAATTAGGCTAACAGGATTCCTAACACTTAGGCACATCAGATTTTGAAATACCACATCATTTTTAACCATTTAACATTTCATCTTAGCATTTTGAAATACCACATCATTTTTAACCATTTAACATTTCATCTTAGCATTTGATAGGGAGTGGTAGCACTCCCTCCACTCTATTTTCTTTTTTTGATTTTTTTAATTTAATTAAATTACTTCATCACACATTATCTTGAACAATCTGGTGGTATACATATAACATTTCCCATTACACTTGGAAACTGATACTCAACAAACAGTGAATTCAATCCCCACATTTTTAAACTCAACAAACAGAGCATAAGAAAACGAAGAAATATTTGAAAGTACTTAAAACTTGAGAATCTCCACCAACTGATCCCAAATACTCTCATTCACCGCCAAATCCTTCTCTATCACCAACATCTTACTCGCAGTTTCTTTTTTCGTCTTCTCCACTATCACCAAAAGACAAAACGCAAAATTTCGGTCATTCCTATGCCCTGACTCATCTCTTTCATCTGAAACGCGTCAGTGACGATCTAAGACCCAACTGAATGTGCAAGCTGTAGTGGCATTAAGAAGGTGACAGATATATCGGTAATGGGTTGAATTTAGGGTTTATTGGGATTGTTTTGAGGTATTCGTTGTGGCGAATTAGGGTTTTAGGATCCATGAATCGGGTATTGATCTGGACGAAATGAAGAGTCCAGTGAAGAACTGAGAAGAAGATGAATTGGTGGAGAAGGAGTTGTATGGACCAATCTCATTTGTTTTCACATTTTCTCTCTTCTCGCCAAATCTATAACGAGACATGGGTAGTGACTCCCCTGGCGAGAGCTAGGGGGCGGTGTTCCTAGATCGATGGTGAGCATAGCGAGTGGGTTTGACACCCCCACTCCATTTAGTCTTAGTACTACTGATAGTAGGCACCTAATTATCTGGAATCCGAGCTGACAGTTCTGTGAATGTCAGAACCGCGTTTGAAACTCTTTCCTAAAACAAATTACTCGAATTTTTTTAGTTTTTTTTAATGGTTTCCATTTTCAAAATAAATCAATTAACTTTTTCAAAGTAAATATATGAACCACAAAAATTAGGCATCATAAACTTGTTTGATTTATCTTTAAGCTTACGGAGGTGATAACGAATGATAGGCTTTCTATGTAGTGAACTTCTTGTTGAAATAATAATGTATGATGCTTTAAATGTAATTATATTGCATATCACTTTGCTTCTATGTAGTGAACTTCTTGTTGAAATAATAATGTATGATGCTTTAAATGTATTATATTGCATATCACTTTGCAAGTTGTAATGTTGATGAAGACCGATTGTGGCAACTCTTCTATTTTTACAAAAATTATATATTTCATCTTTCTAATTTTTTAAAATACTTTATAAAATGATATTTTTCAATATTTTATATTTTAAAATGTTAATTTGAGCCAATTTAGTTTGAACTTTTAGCTTTTCACCTCTTTTATTTTCTAAAATTTTATGCTTATCCCCCGTAGTATGTATATGTCGGTATGAATTCAAAGTTGTAACGTTTCAACGAAATTTATAATATTCGTTTGTTAATTTTAGGAAAAAAAAACTTACACGGTTTTTCCATTTACGTGTCAGTATAAGTTCGAATTTGTCTACGTTTTGACATATATATATATATATATATATATATATATATATATATATATATATATATATATATATATATATATATATATATATATATATATATGTGTGTGTGTGTTTTTGTTCTTATTTTTATGTATGTTTCCTACATATAAGTCATATCATATATAATACAATTTTTATTTTTGGAAATTCCGTTTCTTAACTTAAAAAAAAAATATTACTTACTTATTTTTATGTATGTCACTATAAATTTAAGTTTTTATAGATTTCAATATAAATTTTTGTTTATGTTTTCATGCTCATTTTGTATATGTTTCTTAAAAAAAATATTACTTACTTATTTTCATTCGATGATATAAATTTGAGTAGGTAATGATATCGATCTTGTATATGTATCTATCAACAAACACAACAGTACATATTTTTTATTAATATAATTATCAAATTTAAACCTACAAAATAGATTGTCACTGCTGCGACGCGCGGATGCAATTTAGTAGTTCTCAATCAATATGAAATCCATTTCATTTTAAAAACCATATAACTTATGTAAGCCGTAATAATTGTCCTTATTATTTGATCCAAAACAAGCATGAGATGGATACCGATGGAGTAATATGTTTATTGAAATGAAATATCAAATGTAAGACAGTCGACAAAAATGAATGATAACTGTTAATCAATTTTTATTATATATATACTAGTAGTGTACCCGCACGATATAGCGACGAAGAATAATTTTTTCGTGGAGTTGTTTCTTTTCGACGATTATTTTCTTTTTGACATGTTTTGTATCAGCGATTGCGCTCTTTTAGGCACATTGTTTTGTTTCATATATTACGTTCTTTTTGCCGAATATATTCTTTTCGTTTCGCCGATTAAGTTTTTTTTCGGTGAGTTCTTTCATCCATCTCTTTTTGTTATTTCTCATTAGTTTTTTACAAGTGAATAATGGTATGAGTTTCTATTACGACAACGATATT